GTTAAATGAATTATAAAACTTTAGTTTTAATGTAATTATTCCTTTTTGATGAAGTGATGGTTTAAAATGATAATGTAGATACTTTAAGAAAAGAGAAAATTCTCTCATTATATAATAGATTCTAAGTAGTTAAATACTATTATATAAAAAATAATCTAATGTTTAGATTTTTTTCAAATTTATCCAATGTAGAATTTAATTTTCTTTTTTTTTTTAAGTTTTTGAGTCACTAGATATTAGATTTTTTATATTATTAAAAAACTAATTTTGAAAATAATTATTGTATTTTTAAAATTAAATATGTGGTATTTTTGACATTTTATATAGTTCAATTTATTTGACCAAAAAAATAATATATATATATGCTCAGTTAAACGATGCCGTACTATAGGTCAACTATAATATTGTAAAAGTTCGGTGAAACGGCGTCGTATTAAAGCCTTTCAGTGTGATGGAGAGGAAACAGGTCTCGAGTATTGTAATTAGCATCGAAGAAGACGACGATGACGACACAGGAGCTTGCGATGGAAGGAGAAAAGCATTTGGAAGAAACTATTGAATCGGCTTTTCAGATTATTTCCGCCATGAACGATGAGCTCTGCAATCCTTCCCTGTGGTCTAAATCACCCACCGCGAGTTCCGCCTCTCAGACGACGGCGACGGGTTCCAACGGCGCAGCTCTCGTTTCCGCCGACGGGACTGCGATTGATGGTCCACCGCATCATTCTGAATCCGGTGGTGGCGGTGGCGGTGGCGGAAATAGCGCTTTGGATGAGGCTGGTCTTCGCTATAAGAACTCCATGACTTCTCTTCGTGCTGTTCTTGCTTCGATTCCAAATTCGCAGAAGGTAATGAATGAACATAATGGTGCTAGTAACAATTGAGAAATCGATTTGTTTCTTGACTGAGGAAATTTGAATTTCTAGGGCGTGATCCAATTGAAGTTTGTAGTTGCAAATCTTGAGCAAGATTTTGAGTTTAGGTTAAATGGATCTATTGCTTGTTGAATATCTTGTTCAACTGCATCTATTAAGCTAATAATTCCTAATCGGAGCTTTTGAAGTTATGTTCCTAACTTTGATTTTTGTTCATCTATTACAGGCAAAAGCATTTGAAACGGAAAATGGTGTAGAAACTCCTGAAAGTGAAGAAGAAATCGAAAAGTTGGAGGAGCAAGCCTTAAGTCTCAGAAAGGTAAGCTTTTTTGCAATCTCTACATCATTTTCTATCAGAATACAACTATGTCGCTACAATTTTTGGTATCGATTTCCCGTAGATTCCAACGTATGTAGCACTGAGCATACCTCAAAGCTTAAAACTCACTAGCATCCATAGAATGGCTAGGATACGAATCAGATTTTCTAGTATAGATGCTTTAGCGGTTCTAGAACCATGAAAATGTTTGTAACTTCTGGTCATTTTGATTTCTGTATTAATAAACTTATGGCAAGTGATTATGTTTATCTTCTCTGTTGGCATTAAAATACTAAAAGTTTGGTGAATGCAGGAGATTGCAAAGAAGAATGTTCATGTCAAAGAACTTATCGACAAATTTCGAGAACTTATAGCAGATATCTCTACATGGCAAAGCCCTTGTTCTGTTTGAGCTTTTTTTTGACAATGGTGTGTGATCAGTTTAGGCAAGATTTTAAAGCATTGTTCTTGAATTCCTCATTGATGTATTAGTTTTAGATATTTTTTTATTTTGATATCAAGAAAGAAACCAGAAAAATCTCAAAGATGACCTTGTATTTAAATATATTTCAGACAAAACCTTCAAAACCTGGAGCGTCTGTTTTCTATTTTATGACACTTTTTGTTTGTATTGATCTGTAAGAAAACACTTAATTTGTGTTTCGATGAGTCGATCAATGTCCGAATTTTCTGAGAAAAGCCATAAAACCAAGACCAGCTACTAATGCTGCACCAGCCGCAACTCCACTGTAAGCAGCAGCCCAAGCGTCTGTCTCTACATACTCCATTGCTTCCGTTGATCCCGCTGCTCGTCTCCTTCTTCCTTTGCCTTCTTTTGAATCATCCAAATGTAATCTCAGACTCTGCAATTAATAATGATCCAGTCAATTCAGAAAGCAAACGGGCGTTTATGGGCAATCCCATAAAGGTTTCATCTTTGACTTTGGTTCTTGATGTGCTTCATTTATATATATTTACCTTCCAGCCAATTGATTTTGCATGGTCTATGGCTGCTTGAAGGTCGCTATCTGAAGCTAGCAGGACTTTGTCGTGGTCTTCGTCTTCATACTGCAGATTAAACCATCATTCTAACATTTCAGGGGTGACGAAAAAGAATTGAATCACTGTCTTTTGTGAAAGGTTGTTTAATTACCAAAATTTGGGGTAAGTTGTCTGGATCGATATCATCCCCTACTCTCTGAATGATAGCGGTTATCACTTCTGTCAAACTTCGAGTGTCTGCAATTTACGAACCAATCCATGTGAGTACACTACACACACAGGATTGAAACTGTTTGCTTGGTAAACAAAGGCAATATTTTGCTTACCACTTATGAATCTGTGCATTCTGCGCTTCTTGTCTTCGATCTTGAAAGAAAATGTATTTGCAAAAGGGAAAGATTTCCCTGTCTCAGCTTCAGAAGCAACTTTCAAGGAGCTTTCACTGCAAAAAAAGAAATAGTTTCCCAGGTTCCTAAGAAAATCAGCAAAACAAAAGCTTTATTCAAAATAGTGGTGAAGCGACAATGGCTAATCACCTCCTCGTGTCCTCGTCATCTTCATTTGGAGACAATGCCATTGCTGAATCCCAAAACTTTTGCATCATTGTGTTTGTCGCCTCATTACCTATTCCCGCTGTAGTTCCAGCCTGATCACATCCAATATAGTTACACAACTGAAAACATGTCTCTAGAAAAAAGAAAATCGTAGATTTGTTGTAATCAAAACAATTTATATAAGTTTCAAGGAACGGTAATTACTGTGGCAACCGCAGCGTGAGTGACATGGATTACATCGACAACTGCAACTACATCTCCTTCTGCAGTCAGAAACCCTTTAGTTATTTACATACGTTTGACTTTTTAGTTTTCGTATGACTTCCTATCCAAAAGGTAACAGAAACTTCACCTTTGTCAGTAACGGGAAGGTGCAAGAATTTTCCCTCGTGCATGATGTGCAGAGCTTCAACGATTGGCATGTCAACTGTCGTAGATTCTGGATTCTGAGTCATAACCTATACATTAATGAATAAAACAAACAATTAAACCCAAAAGAAACGAGGAGTTGCAACTTTTTCTTGAAGACAAAGCGATGAGACAACCAAATACATTAAAACATACCCAAAGTATCACGCAAGAGAATTTCTATTAAGTAATTACTTGTAGTACTAAACATAGTCGAACTATCCTACCTTTTCCACTAACGTCTCAGATGGAGGAAGATTTTCAGCCACAACCCGCATCAGTATATCCTTGGAACTAGAGAGATAAAAAAGTAAAACTCAAAGATGTTAGTTAAAAGGTTAGTTAAGAGTCAAGAATGCGAACAAATTGGGGACTAGAGAACTTAGGGAGAAGGTGATTTGGGAGACTTGGGGATTCTCTGGGATAAGCCATCAGTTCTAGTTTTATGTCTCGGTCTTTGGAGAAATAAAGGAAATATATTATCTTACGGGAAGTTAGTAGAACCACTTGAGCCGAGAAATGGGGATTAAATGGAAGGCAGAATTTCTAGGCTAATGACAAAACTTCCAATGCTTTAAGAAAGGAATACTCACGTAAATATCCCTCGAAGCTTTTCCTCGATCATCACAACTGCACAGCTTGATTGAAGTTCAACCATCTTCTTTGCTACAGTCAACACTGTATCAGTTGGTGAGACTTTCAAAACCCTGAACATAACACCAGTGTTAACTTAAACCAACATAATTGAAGGGCAGGAGAACAAAAATCACTCAAGAATGTAGTAAGAATTTAGTTAGAAAAAGAAGAGATTACCTACTTTGTATCATCTGGTATAATTGTTGATAAAGAAGGTCTAAACATCCGGTCTCGTAGTGTTTCAATGAAAGTGTTGGGAACTACATGACAAAATCAAGATTCAAATTCCGATAGAATAAGAAGCAAAAGATAAATGAGATTCGAGCAGGAAAGGTTCCGTTCTTCCCCCACCTGAAGTGTTTGTTCCCCAACTTTTTTCAACACCTTCAACAGCAGCAGCTATTGCCTTGCCTTTCTCAGCTGCCCTCTCCATACGAGCAATCGCATCATAGAGACACTTTGCTATATCTAATAAAGCAATAACTTCGCCATTTTCAACAACAGGCAGATGTCTAAATTTTCCTGTTGTGTCAAATTAAGATACATAGCCTCATTAAGGATCCATACGCAAGGTTTAGAAAAAAAAAAACATCAGGTTTCTCTAACTTAAAAGCAAACACACAAACCTAGGACCATCTTTTGGAGGGCTTCAACAGCAAGTGTTTCCGAAAGAACAAACATCGGATTCCTCGTCATAACCTTGGATACAGGTGTTTCCTCGACATTAACTTCCTGTGAGATCACTCTTGTAGCTATATCCTGAAAACTCAAGAAAGTGGACACATACATAGATCATCAAGTATCCATTTTCTTCCAATTGTGTGCGCAATCAGTCTGAGTGGCTTTACCTTATCCGTTAGAATCCCACAAAGCATTTCATTAGCGTCAGTCAACAACAAAGCATCAACTCGTCGTGCAGCCATCCTTTTACAAGCTTCATATATAGTTGTTGTTGCTGGAACTGTAAGTGCTTTCGATAGCCTTAACCGTTTAACAGTTCGTTCCCCTCCTGTGAAACCCCTGCTCCCAATTCCAAATCCAAATGATGAAAAACTAAAGGAACCATAATCAACCCTAAGGAACCAACATTACATTACATTCTAGGATTTATGTATATATATATAGATTGAGACCTAGAAAGAGAGACTTACAAAGGGGAACGAGAAACAGTAAGAGATCTCCGGCCAGTGTCGAGAGCTCGTTCGCCGATATCCATGGATTTCTTCTTTCCGTGCAATGAAGCAGTCGTTACAGATAAGCTTCTTCTCGATGACCCGTCTTGACTAGCCATTTCTACTGCGTAATTATTGAACAAATCAAACCCACACGAAATCGTCAACGCTTGTGGAAAAATCGAATTCGATTTACATGTTCAACAAATTCGAAGAACGACTAATCAATCAAGCAAACACTAAGAATCACGAACAAAAAGAAGAGAGAAACTCGTGAAAATCGAAGGTATTATTACCGGCCAAATTCGTCGTCGGGTCAACAAAAACGGATTATGGGATTTGAAAAACTTGAAGAAGCTTAACGAAGTTGGGGATTAGTCTTTTCTCAAATGTTCGTGAGAAGGATGATAACGGCAAAGAGAGAAACGACGATTTGTGAGAGAGATTCTTCCCGGGAAAGTGATGGGAAAACGAAGGAAAATAGAAAGAAAATTATTTTCTTCTGAAAAACGTTTTTTCGTTTTGCTTTTACCAATCGGATTCTTTTGCAAATTGGGGCGATCCTTCTCTACCTTTTTTTTTATTTTGGTATCTATTTTTTGTTTGTTTTTGGGGCAATATATTGATTTCTTCTTATCTTTAGTAATTTACGATTTTATCCTCCAGATTATGAAGAGTTAATCAGAGATTTGTTTCCCATTTCGTAAAGAGTGTTATTGTTATCTATGTTATGGTCATTTATTACACACGAGTTGATTGATACATTCTGGATTTTTGTAATTTATTTTTGGTCTTTACTCTTTCTTTCATTTAGCAATTTGGGATTTTGTCTACGACAGGAAAATATAATTGTTTTTCCCCTTAAAACATATATTAAATTTAATGAGGACAAACTTGTAGATGAAAAACAAATGAAAATAAAACTACGCGCTTAAATAATGCACTAAGGGGATTTGTTCGATTGATGGTTTTTTTAAAATTTATTGACTGAGATTTAAATAGAAATATACTCTTTTCATTTCATTTTGTTTGATGTCTAAGGTTTCGGTACATAAATTAAGAAATTTTTTTAAAAAAAATTTAAATCATATTTTATCATCAATTCCAAAATAACTCAACCAATAAAAAACCAATTTACAGAATTGAAACACGAAACAAAAAAAATACAATTAATTTTGCATAGAATTTTAAAAATATCAATTAAAATGAAGCAAAAAAAAAAGTCTAAAAATCAAATAAAAAAAAATGAGGGAGTATTAGATATCCGACTTCATGTTTATTGTGTGTAATCTAAATTGATAATTTCATGTTCGGTTGTTTCAGTAAGTATACAATTTAGTGGTATTTTTATAACTATTATGGCAAATAACATATTAAAATCTACATTTCTTAGGAGTATTTTGAATGATCAAATTAATAAAAGAAAGGATTCTTATTGTTTTACTGTTTAAAAACATATTGAACAGATGCATCTCTAACGGTCAAAGACAAAATTTCATGTTCCATTCATAATTGTATAATTTTACAGTAAAATTTTTTTAAATTAACCAATCTAAAGTATACTCAAGCACGCAGGATATTAGATCAGTGGTTTATTTTTAAATTTTTTATGTAATCTAAATTAATTATTTCATGTTTGGTTTCATAAGTATACAATTCAACTGTAAAATATATTTAATA